CTATAGTATAGTAGTTACTATCCTAGTGTCTCATTTTTATTTTACTTAGTTTACATGTTTTTAATAATTGTAAAGCGCTTAGAGCTTTAAGGTAAGCGCTATATAAAAATGCCTAAATAAATAAATGTTAGTAAGTGGATCTTTGTCCTAAAAAATGTAAAGGAATGTTAGTTACTTTTAGCAACAGTTGGATTTCTTAGGTTGTAGCCAATTTTAAAGGAGTCTTACTCATATCCCAGAAGAAAAAAGATAGATGCAGCATTTTAGTGAATTGCCCATTTATATAACTTAATGAATAATAAAAGCTTTTACGCTCAAATTACTGACAAACTTACTTGTTTTTCCCATTTAATTGTTAGCTTTCATTTACTTTGGATTTCGCCTACAGATGTTATGACCCTATTTTGTTGTTTTTATTCTGTGCTGTAACTTTATTGGGGGACACCTCTAACTTGAAAATTTTATTCCAAATTCCAAAGTCACAAGTTTATATATTCCTAAGATTTCTTGTTCTAGCTTAACTTGACATTTTAATTTTAACTTTAACTTTGTATACTCATTTGTATTGTCCACAGAATGACATCACCAAAGAAAATAACAGGGGCTAAACCAGACAAATCAGTTAAACAAGATCAATCACCCAAGAGATCAATAGGACAGAGGGCTGCAGGCTCTATCACTGTTGTTGAAAAAACATTAAGAAATAGTCCAGTGTTCATCAGCCTCATCATTTTTACAGCCCTTCTCTACTTTACTGTCATATTTCTGAACCTATTGGCTGGAGACCCAAATATCATCCCTGGTAATTCAATTTTTTTTAACTTATAGAAATTAATTTCCATTGTTTTAATTATTGTATATTAAATGCTTTTTTATTATTTTTTAATGGACATAAACTATGAAGAAATAATCTTGAACCAAGTAAACTATTTATTGAAACACAGCCTATACCTATGTAGTGAGTAACTATACTTATCAAGTGTTTTTTGCGCCAATAAGCAAATCATCCCCACAAATTACTGATTAATTAAGTAAACAAAACTATCACAAGTGTTGGCTACAACATCACAAGCTAATGAAGTCTAAGCAGCTCCTAAAAAAGATCAATGTGACAGTGAAGTCACAGAAATAAATAGACATATCGTATCTGATTTGGAAAAAATTTGATAAAATCTCATAAAATATTGAAGAATCTATTAAAACCATCAAGATTTACTTTTAATTCTGTCATAGAGAAAGCATTTTTTAGGAAGGTTAGTCAATCTTTTTAAAATATCATTATGTGCTGATTCAACGTTTCAACCCCAATATCAATTTATACCTTTTGTTGTTATATTCCTTAGGTCTCTTTGAGCGGGGAATATCTGAGGTTTCCAATGAATTTAACACCAGGATCACACCAGCTGGTTGGGCGTTCTCTATTTGGGGTCTGATTTACCTCCTCCAGTTTGCCTGGGTCATCTACAGTCTTGCTCTGATCTGCCGCACCACTCCCAACGGACCAGCTTACCTGAATCCCATTGTTCTCTCACCTGCTTTTTTTATTTTCTTTAACCTCAGCTCGGCATTTAACATTGGCTGGTTGTTTCTGTGGGACCGCATCTTGTTCATGGCCTCCTTTGTTTTCCTTGGATGTATCACCCTCTCTCTTTTTTTGACATTGGCCATTGCCTCTGTTAGGCTGGTCACATTTCAAGACGCTTTGGTTGACCAGGGAAGAAGGACTGATGTGAATTTTCTCAAAGTGGCAGTTGTAAATGGCGTTGGTATGTATGCCACCTGGTCTACCGTGGCCACTCTGGTCAATTTAGTTGTCGTTTTGACTTACAAGTGGAGCCACCCCATCGGAGATGAGAAAGCTGCTATAATTTGTTTGGGGATTCTCTCATTTTTTACTGTCGTTTACATAGCTTTGGATATGACAGTTTTGGAGCAATACACTCGTTTTGCCTTTGCGCCATATCTTGTCATAATTTGGGCACTGGTTGCTATTGTAGTAAAAAATTACAACAAGGCATATCTCTCGTCCATAATGTCGGTAGTTCTGCTCGGTTCTGTCTGCTTTGCTTGCTTGATAAAGGTTGCTTTGACATCTTATAGAGTAAGAAGTGTAAAATATCACTATCGTCAAATGAAAAGAGGGCGTCCAACAAACCTGGAAGAGTAAATTTTTTTCACGCAGCAATGAAGTCCTGACTGGATTTTGTCACAAAGACACAAGAAGTCGGGTTTTTATTCATATAAATAATGATCTTTTCGTTTTGTTATTTTTTTCAATATATTTTTCTTATTGTACATAGTACAATGACTAGTAAACTTTTTACAAACATCAGAGGCACTTACATTCAACTTCCATCATGGTCACATCATCTTTGTTGATCCCTAGTATCTGTAACAAAGATGTTACCATTTCCTGACCACTCTTGTACCAGTATCAGTAAAAAAAAATCAGGGACCAATACTTGAGTTGTCTACTACACTCGTGATCTGCTACTGTATATATTAATTTAAAAACTGCTAACTTTTTTTTTTAAATATGTAATTACTAAAGCATGCTAAGGGGACAAATTATTGTGGATTGTTATCTTATGTCATTTAGTATACATAAAAAGGATATTTATTAGTGTATTTGAGTGCATGTTTTTTTTGTTTTTGTTCTTACAAATATGATTTCTTAAGCTAATGAAATTTCCAATCTATTTATTTAATGAGATCTATTGTAGTTGTACCGGTAGTAAAAAAAAAGAAAAAATGCATGCTATTGGGTACCGGTAAGTAATTTTTGGGAAGCCCCTAAATACACTATGGTATATAGTTATATTCCATGGTGTTGCCTTGGCAAGTAAGTCAGTTGTGTTTTCTGACAATTAATTCGTATGCCTGCACTGTGGAGTTCATTTGAAAGTGACATGGGCTTGCTTACAACTTGTAAATATTTTGACAGTCCAATGAATGCTGTTCGACTAAATCTGTACATTATTTACATATCATTCGGAAAAACCATTATTTCTCATTATGTCTAATCAAAATTAGGGTGTGAAAATAATTGGTGTACTTTTAGTTGATTCTGTTATTTGCATGTGTGCTATAATAATGACTTTACTCCATGGTGTCAATCTTGTTGGCATAAAGCTCAATAAATTCCTGAAGTAAACAACTAAATGTTCTTTAGCTCTACATTTGCATATTGTGATCCATCAGTGACATTTCTGTAAAGTGGCTTGTTACTATTGACTATTGTAAGTTGTTGTTTTTTATTCATGTTAGATTTCCAAATCAACTCACCAGTACCTTGTGTACAAAATTGAGTTGATCTTGTAAGTTTAATTGAATTTTAAATTCTAAATAAACATCTTTGTCTTCAGTGTTTCATGGCCTGGCTTCTTCAACCTTTTGGCTTTTAATAATTTCATGAATAAATGTAAAAATATTCATAAAAAGCTATTTATGTTTGTTGTTTTTATGCACACAAAAAAACATATCACATATTTTTTATATTTTTTTTTTGCAAATAAAAATTCAGATTTCACGATATGTGCGATGTTTAAGAAAATTTGTTATTATAATGTTAATGTTTATTTTACTGTTCTCCTTCGCATGGAGAGATGACCAATTGGCCGACTTGAGTGGTAGCCTTGACATGAGCTGTATTTTGAATGTTCATAATAAATAGTCACAAACCGGTATGTAATTAAGTTTAAGGGTCGTTGGCAAATTACGTCACACAAAAAATGACCTTTTTAGACCCCCCCTCCCCGTCACAAAGTGAAATGACCTTTTTAGACCCCCCCCTCCCCGTCACAAAGTGAAATGACCTTTTTTTGACCCCCCCTCCCCGTCACAAAGTGAAATGACCTTTTTTAGAACACCCCCCCCCCTTCCGTGTCACAAATTCTTTCCCCCCTCCCTCTTTTTTTATTGTCAGGTCACACCTAAAAAAATCAAAACAAACAAAGTGAAATGACCTTTTTTTGCCCCCCCCCCCCCGTCACAAAGTGAAATGACCTTTTTTAGAACCCCCCCCCCCCTTCCGTGTCACAAATTCTTTCCCCCCTCCCTCTTTTTTTATTGTCAGGTCACACCTAAAAAAATCAAAACACATAAAATCTTCATAATTAAACATCATATTCCGTTTCTGATATATACGCAGAGGTCACTCGAGGGTCTGTGGAGGTCAATAGTGACTTAATGATCATGAGGGGTTGTATTGTCATCGGGGAAAAGTTTCAAAATAATCTTATTTTAACTCAATAGGAGATCAGGAATTGGGTCAAAATTGATATGCAATATTTGACCACACAATCCAACAAATGGACGGAGCAACTTAAGAAAAAGTATATAAAAGGGTGTTAATTTGTGAACTGCTGTTCGATAACGATGCAGTGGGTAGTTAAGAGTTTGGGCTGACCATCTGTGTACAGAAGAAGAAGAAAATGTCAAGGCGCAAGATACACAATCCCTTCACAGTCCCTTACATGAGAACTAATAATTCCCTTATATGACTAAGGGAGTTCAATAAATAGCTTTTTTTTTCCCACTAGTGAAATAATTTAATTTAGATGTGTGGTTCAAACTGTTTTAGTTGAAAATGTGAAATGTATTAAAGAAGAAGAAGAAAATTTCAAGGCGCAAGATACACAGTCCCTTCAAAAGATAAACTATTGAGGGACATACTCTGTCAGTAGATGAAAACTTCACATATCTTGGGTCACATCTCTAGCTTAGTCACCGTTGACGAAGAGGTGAACATCAGGAGCGCAAACGCTGCAGGACTCATTGGACGTCTGCAAAGGAACAAAAGGCTTAGTTACAAGCTTTATCAGTTGGTGTGATGAACATTTTCTCCAGCTGAATGTCTCAAAAAACAAAGGAGATGGTTGTTGATTTCCTGAGGGGGAAACACCAGATTACATATCTCAGCATAGAAAATCAAAGTCTATAGAAAGTAGAGGCATATAAGTACCGGTGTTATGTGTCACCGTTAACAAAAAGCTAACGTGGCATGAGCACGGCCAAATACTGTATAAAAAATTAAACCAAAGACTTTTAGTTTTTAGCTTTAAAAAACTGTTCAATTTCAGCGTAAACAAACAAGTTGTTAACTTACTCTACAGTGCAACAGTTGGAAGCCCACTTAATTTCAGTATTACCTGGTGGTGTGGGAATTCAACGTCTGATATTAAACACCGAATAAACAGACTAATCAAGAAAGTTAGGAAATTAACACAACCTAAACACGCTTCACTTGAAGAACTTTTTGAAGAAAAATGATATTGTAAAACTAAAAAAACTGTGGATGATACATCCCACCCTCTTCATCACAGATACAGTAGAACCCGTTTATGTGGACAGATTCGGGGTTTTCCAAAAAGTGTCGAGATAACCGATGATCGAGATAAACGAAAACTAATATGGCGGCAATATATTAACATGTGCTTGAAATTTCTAATGTGCACGATGTGCGTTTATAAATGAGATGTAGGCTACAGGCACGTGTTTTTTTGTGTTTTTTTTTTTTTTTTTTTTTTTTTTTTTTACACAACAGCGCTATCCGCGATTTGTTTGATGAAGCGATCGGCATGCTTCATCTTCATGCTATAAAAATGTACATACATGTTTGCTGACATCACAAGGCATATGTGGGGTGCCTCTTTTCCGGAATTCCGGATTTGTGAGGCTAAATATATTTCAGCTCCGGATTCGCGAGTTTGTATTTCCTCTCGCTCCGGATAAGCCAGTTCAGTTTATTAAAATCAACCTGTAAGTGTAAGAACGCTTGAAAGCCTATTAAGTATTAAGCGACAAGTGGGTTCGCTATAAATAGTATAGGTACTGCGACCCCTCTCTTTTGTTTGCAAGCCTCTCGCTCCTCGCTTCTTGCCGTGTCAAGTTAATTGCGAGGACAACGATATTGTCATTTCATTTCAATTACTACAGTTTGAAGTAGCCAAGTTTCTGTTGTATATAATTTTCAAAATCCGTCGATTGGTCATGGGGATCGAGCTAACAGAGATTAAGTGGCAAATTTGGCTGCCTTTTGTGCTCGAGATATCAGGGTTCGAGGGACATAAAAAGAATCGACTTAACCGAGGAGAAAATGCTAAGACAAATAGAGGATTTGGCAGTTCCACTTCAAAAACGTCGACTTAACAGGGTTGGCGAGTTAACCGAGGTCGAAGTCAGGTAAGTGGCGTAGCGAGGGTGTTTGGCGCCCGGGACAAGATTCGCGCCCGGGGACAAGATCTATTTTTAGCGCCCCTTTTTCTTTTTTCAACTCTCAAACCCATTATTTTCATCAATAAAATAATATCAAAGCACATTTTGGCACCCCTAACTAGCTGGCGCCCGGGGACATCTGTCCCCCCTGCCCCCACCACGCTACGCCTCTGGGTCGGGTTCAATAGAAAACGTACTTAAGTGTATTTTTGCAGTTTTGAGAAAAATGAGTTTAAAGTTTTTAAATTCTTATTTAAATACATTAAAATTTGCTCGAGGTCGCTCTGAATAAAACACTTATGTACATTTTTCATGAATGATATTTACGGGAATGATTCAGGGAAAGTAATCAGATATAATGCCAGGCTTAATTCAGTTTTGAAAATTGTAACTTTAAGTACTTTTTCTACTCGGCCCTTCACCTGTACTTAGGATCGGCCCGTTTGGGACGAATTCTTTCTCCCAGGGCGAGGACTGAAAGATAAAAAAAAAAAAAAAAAAAAATCCTAAATCTGAACTAATTTTGAAAATTGTAACTTTAAGTACTTTTTCTACTCGGCCCTTCACCTGTACTTAGGATCGGCCCGTTTGGGACGAATTCTTTCTCCCAGGGCGAGGAATGAAAAATAAAAAAAAAAAAAAAAAAAATCCTAAATCTGAACTAATTTACCAGTGTGCTGCCCCAGAAGTAAAAAAAAATCTACATGAGAACTAATAATTCCCTTATATGACTAAGGGAGTTCAATAAATGGCTGTTTTTTTCCCACTAGTGAAATAATTTAATTTAGATGTGTGGTTCAAACTGTTTTAGTTGAAAAAGTGAAATGTATTAAAATATCCATTTATTTATGTGCTGAAAATGTATATGTACAATGCATTAAAAAACCACATTTCCATTTGTTTGGATCAATAAAAGAATCATATCTTATCTATTGAGGGAAGCCAGTCTAGAAATCGTGAATGGTAGATCGTTCCTTCCATAGAGAGGCGTAGCGTGGGTGTTTGGCGCCCGGGGACAAGATTCGTGCCCGGGGACAAGATCCATTTTAAAGCGCCCCCTTTTCTTTTTTTCAACTCTCAAACCCATTATTTTTACCGATATAATATTAAAGCACATTTTGGTGCCCCCTAACTAGCTTGCGCCCAGGGACATCTCCCCCCCGCCCCTCCCTCGCTACGGCTCTGCTTTCATATTTTGAGGGCCCACGATCAATGTATTGATCATCGCTGATCAACATTACAGCTTGCGAAAAGCAGTGTATGAGGTGGTCAAAAGGCAGAAGGTGCACAAAACAGCAACGAGGGCCTTGAGCAAAGTAATGCACTGGGTCCCCGTATACCCTTATAACCTATTCAACTGTTGTTAGGAAATCATTTGCGGGCCTGGATGGCCCATGTGTTATGGCCAATTTTTTCATTATTTCCTTTAGAAAAATATTAACATCCATAAACATACATTCATTCCAGCTATGTTGTACCCAGGGGGTATTCTTTTGGCACCCGTTTAGATTCGCCCCTGGAATCTAAAAGTTCAATGCAAATGACTCCATGCCTTAAAATCGCACTTCATAGGCCTACATAATATATTTATTTATATTTTATGGACTTTCAGAATTTCTGGATTATTTTTGCTAAATGTGTGAATAAATGTACGTCCTTTCTGCCGATACACCCCCGCGCCATACGCACGCGTTCGCATAATCGACCCACCCCCCCCCCCCCCACCAGCTCTTACGAGCTCCACACACAAACACACCTTTTTCTCCCCGTCTACCTTCAATGCGTACGTAATAATTGGATGGCCCCTAATATAATATATATTTTTTTTTTTTATTTTAAAAAAAAATGTGTAACTTGAAATGATTCATGATGGTCAAAGCTGGAGAGAATTACTAAACTAACCATATTGCACAATTTAAATACGACACCGCAAAGGGAAACCTTAGAAACAATTCATGAACGCAGTCCTCCCCATGTTACGAAACAATACAGTAATCGTTATAAATTAAAAATAGCAGTAACGAATATTTCATGGTTTTTATCATATTTTTTTACTATGAATTTTAAAATAAATTTTTAGTAAAAAGTTCAAATATATTTGCTGTTTAGCGTTTTCCAATGCAAATAGTTTATAGTATATAACAAGACACAACGAACACTCAAAAATAAAAGGGCAGTTAATTAAAAGGCAAGTGGAAACAAATGTAAACTTTTATGCAAGCCAAAGTTCTCACGAACCAAATTTAATGTCTGATACTAATTACTAATGTAATGTGATTAGTTAGATAAC